AGCCCGCGCCGCCCCTGCCCGCCCTGGAAGCCGCCCGCCGGCCCGCCTCACCCACGCTGGTGGGGAAGACCTCCTCGTCGTTGATCTGCGCCTCCACCCAGTCCATGAGCAGGTCCATGTAGCGGGGCGCGGACAGCGCCGTGGGCTTCCGGAACTTGTGCTCGTCCTGCCAGCGGTACTCGTACTTGGGGCCGCCCGACATGACGGGGCAGGACTGCTCGGTGCAGCCGTCGCTGATGGTGCCGTAGATGAGGTTGATGCGGTTGAAGAAGTCCACCACGTGCACGGCCACCCAGTCGTGCAGGTCCTCGCCCGGCGGCAGCTGCACCGCCAGCCGCAGGTCCAGCCCCGCGTTCAGCGACGCCTGCGCCCGCTTGTGCAGCTCGAAGCGCTGGGTGCCCGGCTCGAACTTGCGCTTGGGCCGGAACGTCTTGTCCTTGTTGAAGACTTGCTTCAGGAAGGGGCCAGACATGGCAGCGGCGCCCTCCTGCTCCCGGGCGGGGCGGCTCACGGAGGGCTCACCGGGCGGCCAGGCCGCGACTCCCCGGGGATCTGAAACACACAGACAGGAGTGAAAACGGGCACAGACCTTCCCAGACACTCCGCTTCAGAGGCAGAAGTGTCCGGATTCAGACTGTTCCCTGGGACTTGCAGCCGTAAGGCATTTCAGGCCGGGTGCGGTGGCGCACGCCTGTAATCCCAGCACTTTGGGAGGCTGAGAAGGGAGGATCACTCGAGGCCAGGATGTCAAGACCAGCCTGGACACATACTAGGATGCCAGCTCTACAAAGAGTTAAAAACTAGCTGGGTGTGGTGGCATCTGTAATCCCAGCTGCTCAGGAGGCCAAGGCGGGAGGACTGCTTGAGCCCAGGATTTCGAGACCAGCCTTGGCAACATAGCAAGACTTCCCTCTCTACAAGTAACAACAATAATAATATCTCAGCCGGGCTCGGAGGCTCGCCTGTCATCCCGCGCCTTGGGAGGCTGAGGTGAGTGGATTGCCTGAGCCTGCGGGTTCGAGGCCCGCCTGGGCAGCAAGACCTCCTCTCTACAATAAATCAAAAATCACCCGAGCGTGGTAGCGCGCGCCTGCAGTTCCGGCTACTCGGAAGGCTGAGGCGGAAGGATCGCCGGAGCCCAGCGGGTCGAGGCCGTGGTGGCCGGGAGCGGCCGCTGCCCTCCAGTCCGGGCGACAGAGTGAGACTCCGACTCAAAAACAATAAAATAAAATAAAATAAAACAATAATATCTAACTGCCTCATACGCTGCAGGGTAGAAGACCATCTCTGATTTACAGAGCAGGAAACTGAGGGGCTGGGTGTGGTGGCTCACACAGGCAAGAGAGGATTGCTTGAGGCCAGGAGTTCGAGTCCAGCCTGGGCAACACAGCAAGACCCCGTCTCTACACACACACACACACAAATTTTTTTTTGAGTTGGAGTCTCACTCTGTCGCCCAGACTGGAGTGCAGTGGCCGGTCCAGGCCACCGCAGCCTCGACCTGGGGGGCTCCGGCGAT